TGAACAAGAATAAAATGAAGAGAATTGTTAGGAACTGTTTTGTCCAGGTATTTTCCAACAAACCTGATAAATAGAGAAATAGTTGCAAAAATATGAAATGCCAGATGAAGAGAACAAAAAATGGAGCATTAAAATAGCCCAACCATAGTAAAAGAAACATAAATCATAAATGAACTTCCAAATGCAGGGAACCTCCTCCCCCCAAATAGATGTATAGCAACTATCTCCAATTTAGGGAAAGACTGGATGCTCATCAACTGGGGAATGGCTAAAGAAGTTGTGGTATATGATTTTGATGGAATATTACTGTGCTGTAAGAAATGATGACCAGGTTGATTTTAGAAAAAAAAAATTGAAAGACTTGCATGCAGTAATGAATGAAATGAGCAGAACCAAGAAAAGGTTGGATACAATAACAGTAATATTATTGAAAGAATAACTGAATGACTAAGCTATTCTGAGTATTATAAATATTCAATTAAACTACAAAGGACCTGTGAAGGAAGATGCCATCCACCTCCAGAGAAAGAACTGATAAATAAAAGTATACATAGTATGGTTTCATAGGTAGACATAGATATCTGTAGTGTGGGGTGGGGGAGGCAGGGAGCTAGTTTGAAACTTAAAGTGTGACAAAAAAAATTTTTTTTTAAATAGGGAAAGAGGAGGTCCTACTAAACACCTTCTGTGACTAAAATATGATCCTAACTACTGAAGCCAGAGACAGAAAATTCAGAGAAAGAAACGTAGAATGCCAGATGGCAGAGCTGATAGGGACTTAGAACATAGATTGTCATAAGTGGAGGGGGCAATAGAACACAATATCAGAGCTGACAGTAATATGAGAACATAGAACATCAATTCTGGAGAGCCCTTAAAAAGCAGAACTTATTGTCTGCAGAGTACTTAGAAAATGCATTATCCGAGCCGGAAAGAACCTCTACACATAGAATGTCACAACTGGGTTTGACCTTCTGTCACAGAATATCAGACCTGAAAGGAACTTTGAATACTAAATGTCAGAGCTGAGAGGAAACAATGTTAGAGCTAGGAGGAATATTGGAAGATAGAAAATCAGAGGTTTTGTTTGGGGGTGGGTGGGTGGGGAAACCTCAGTTAAAATATGCCAGCACACCCCAGTATACCCTGCCCACCATCTATGTGTGCGCTCTTGTATTTAGAATAGAAAGTGTTCTAACAGAGTTTGATGGGAACTCAAGGCCTTCAGAACACCTCTGGAATGCTGAATGTCAGAACCAAAGGAGCTGAGAACACAGACTGTCACACCTGAGAGAGTCCTAAGAAGACAGACTGTCACAGTTGAAAGAGATCTTAGAACACCGAATGTCAGAGCTGGAAAGGACATCCAAATACCAAATATCTAAGCTAGAAAGAGACCTTATAAATCTTTTATAAAAGAAAATCTTTTATAAAAGATCAGACTGCCTGCCAAGATGGCTGCCTGAATGGAAGGCACATGGCCCAGGTTCCATGTGATTACTTAAGCAAAAGACTGAAGTTTACGCAGGGACCCCTCCCCCCCAAAGCTAAGTGCTTTACAAATATTACCTCATGTGATCCTCACAACACCCTGCCAGGCAGGTGCTATTATTATACAATTGAGGAAACTGAGGCAGCCAGAAGCCAAGTGACCTGCCCAGGCTCACAGAGCTACTACATGTCTGAGGCTAGATTTGAACTCTGGTATTCCTGACTTCAGGTCTAGCCCCCTCTCTACTGTACCACCCAGCTGCCAGGGCTCTTTCCCTAGACCAGGTTGCCTCCCATTTATAAGGCAGAAGAAGGCAGCAAAGGACAGGGAACAGAGAATCAAGATGAGAAGAACAGCTCACATCTCTCTAGCACTGGAGGGTTTACACATGTAAACAAAAACCTTGTGAGGTAGAAGATACAAGTATTATTGTCCCCATTTTATAGAGGAGGAGATGTAATCAGCAGAGACTGAGGTTTAAGCTCCAGATCAGATACAAGCTGTATCTGAAATAAGTAGCTCACATGTGTGTAGTCCTTTAGGGCCCTGTGGACCCTGTCTCATTGGGGCCTCACAAAAACCCACCAAGGTAGCTGCTACTGTATTATTAGCTCCATCTTATAAGTAAGGAAACTGCAGTCCAGAGAGGTCAAGGGATTTGTCTATGGTCACACAGCTAGGAAGTGTGTGAGGTTTCATTCAGACACACCTTTCTTCTGACCTCAGGTCCAGTGCACTTTCTGATTTCCCACACTGTCTCATGAATATCATACCTTGTCAACATACTGTCACAACAGTGGCAGGCCTCCTAAAGTTCAGAAAGAGCTGATGCTGGTAAGAAATTTAAGGATTTGTGAAAAAGTCTCTTTACCTCTGTTATGGAGAAAGGAAGAACAAGAAAGGCCAAGACCTCAGCCCAGGATGAATAGGATGGTGATAATTAATGGAAGATGGGGAGGTTACTCCTTGACTTTTATTTCATTTTCTCTGCCCAGGAATGTGGCCTTTGGTCAGGGAAGCACAGAACAAAAATGGTCCATAAGGGCAGCAAAGAAAACCAAGTGAGGGGAATGATAAGTGAGTGCCCAGCTGCCCTTGATGAAATCATGTCACTTGGCCCAGGAGAAGTCCATCTGACAATTAGGGAGAGACTGGCAGGTGTGAGCTGCTGCCAGAGGAGAGAGGAGGGTGGGGTAGGGTGAAGGAGATACCAGGGAAGGAAGAAGAGCCATGAAGCTGAGGCAGCAGGGACCATATACACAGTGGCCAGTTATTCTCCAGGACAAACTTCACCCTTGTGTACTGAAAGAACTGGCAGATGTGATAGCTGAACAGCTAAGTGTCAGTGACATTTGAAAGCTGGTGGAGATCAGGAGAGGTACCCTAGGACTGGAGAAGGCCAAAGGTTCTCCTGATTTTCCAAAAAGAGGGGAGAATAACATCTGTCAACTCTAAGTCATTGAGTGTGGCTTTGACTGCTGACAAAATTCCAGAACACATGATGAAAGGGATGGCTGCATAAGATGTTGGTCTGAGCTGAATTTCTGCCCAAATGCTCAGAAAAGGCCCATGTGGAACAGTGACAGCTGGTGTTTAGAAGGCAGTCCTGCCTGTTTGCACCTGACTGGGCTTCTGTTGCAGGAAACTGGGGGCAGGGGCAGCTGGGGAGCCTGAGAGTTGGAAAGCAGAGTTTCAGGAGAGGCCTGGGGATGCTCACAGGCCCCAGGATGCTGCAAGTCTCCATGATGAGCATCACCCAGGGGGGGCTGGAGCATCTGAGCTAGTCCAGGCATAACAATAAGGATAGGGTGTGCATATGTGATTCATGTGGGAGGAACTCCCAGAGGAGGAAAATCTCCTTCTCAAATGTGATTGACAACTTCTCAACAGCTTTACATTCTCAGAGAGTTACCTAGAGTACTGGGAGTTTCAGTGGATTGTCCAGGTTAATACAGGCTGGAGCAGAGAGTTAAGGGATCAGCCTCCAAGGCTGCCTCCCAGTCAGCCATCCCTGCCTTGAGGAGCTGGTGGGGGCAATGAACATGCTCTTCCAGCTAGATGAGAGGTGGACATCTCTCCCAAGTCCTCAGTGTTCTGTATCTCTGAAATGATGTTGTCTTATCTGACCCTCACTGGTCTCTGGGCATGGGGTATGTCTCTAGTAGAACAGTAAGCTCTCTGAGGGGTGCTTAGGGGTGTGGGATGTTTGTATCCCCAGTGCCTCACACACAGGAAGTGCTTGATACAAGTTTATTCATTAGAATGGAATGGAATTGGGGTCAGAACCAATAAGGTTTTATCAGTGGGCATGTCCCTAAACAAGGTAGATTGCCATCTGCTTTGCTGGTGCACCCCAAGGACACTGGGCCTTTCCATCCTCCCTGCTGCTGGAACCTCTTGTGTTTCAGGTTTTCCCCTATTAGATCATGAGCTCCTTGACAGCTGGAATTCTCTCTTCTGTTTCTATGCCAAGCACTTAGCAGAGTGCTTAGCCCACAGTAAGAACTCAATAACTGCTTTTCTCACTCACCCAGTCACTGAGGACAAGGGTTTAAGTCTAAGATCACCAGGGGGAAGGGCTGGGGGTGGCTGAGGGAGAGGTGCTAATGACACAGGTGAAGTTGTGAGGAAAAGCTAGCCCATATCCCCCTGCCCTTGAAGAGGAGGAGGAGGCAGGTGGGTTAAATGTGACAGTGATGAGACCACCCTGAAGCATCTTGGAGGGTCATGGTAAGGATGGGCTGTCACCAATGACCCTGGAAAGGAGGTGTTACAAATGCCTCTACCTCTGTTTTATGATTATTATCCATAATCAAAACAGCTAGCATTTATATAGAGCTCATGAAGATTTCAAAGTACTTTGTAAATGTTGTTTCATTTGATCTTCAATACAATCCTGACAAGTAGGTGCTGTCATTAACCCCATTTACAGAAGAGGAAGCTGAGGTTGAAAAGGTTTCAGTGTTTGCCCTTCATCAGGCAGTCAGTCAACAGGCATTTATCTTTCAGCACTAACCATTTGCCAGTCACTGTGCTAAGCTCTAAGGATACAAAGAAAATAGGAAAAGAGGGTCCCTGCCCTCAGGTGCTCACATTTCAGTGAGAGAGACTACAGGTAAATTACTATGGCCATACAAAATATAGACATTGTATGAAAATGGAAGGGAATCACAGAGGGAAGTAGAAGGTGAAAGTGGAGGGTGATCTATATCTATCTTATATATAGATAGATATAGATATGTGTGTATGTATGTAAAATATTTAAAACCATACTATGTATACTTCAATTTATTGGTTCTTTCTCTGGAGGTGGGTAGCAGATTCCTTTATAAGTCCTTTGTAGGTGATTTGAATATTTATGATGCTCAGAATAACTTAGTCATTCACAGTTATTCTTCAAACAATATTGATGTTACTGTATACAATATTCTCTTGGTTCTGCTCATTTCATTCTTCATTATTTCATGCAAGTGAAAAAAAAAGAAAGTGAAGGGTAAAAGGTGAACTGGGGAAGAAGGTGAGATTTGAGCAGAGTTGAAGGAAGCCAGGAGGTGGAGATGAGGAAGGAGAACTTTCCAGCTATGGAGGACATCCATAGTTGGGAGATGGGTATATGGAGGGCAGGGAGATTTAAAGGTAGGAAGAGGTCAGGTTGTGAAGAACTTTAAAGCCAAATGGAGAATTTTTCTATTTCCTTATGGAAGTGCTAGGGAGCCACTGGACTATACTGAGTGGAGGGGTGACATGTCCAGACCTGGGCTTTAGGAAAATCCCTTTGGGAGCTGAGTGGAGGATGGATTGGAGGGGGTAACTACCTGACAAAGCACCCAAAAGACTACTGCAGCAGCCCAGGTGTGAGGTGATAAGGGCCTTCAGCAGAGGGGCAGCTGGGCATGGAGAGAAAGGGAAGTACACAAGAGATGTGAAGGTAAAATCAACAGGACTTGGCAACACATTGGACCAGGGGTGCATTTGAGTGAGGAGTTGGAGAGGACATGAAGGCTGCAGGCCTGGGTAACTGGCAGGACACTGGGACCCCCAATAGTAATAGAGAAATTTGGAGAATTGGGGAGGAGCAAAGATGCATTCTTTTTTGAATGTGGTGATTTTGAGATATCAATGGGGCCTCCCTTTTGAGATGCCCAAAAATAGTGAGTTAAGTGATGGGAACTGAGTAAATAGGGCAACTGGGAAGTAGGGTCTTCAAGGGCACATCAGTATGTAGTGTGTAATCCTCTAGCCTGCTCCTGGGCTGTCACTTCTGGTCCTGTTCCTTGCCCAGCACACAGATGAGCCAGCTCTGATTTCTAGACACTGGCTCTCCTGTCCCTCCAGGATGTGAGAGGATGTTCACTACTAGCCCTCCCCTGCTTCCTGCGCTGTTAGAGGAGGAAGAGAGGAAAGGCAAAGATCTGACACACCTCACAGGAGTCAAAATGGCCAGTGATCATTTATGCCATTTATCTTCCAATTAGCATCCACCCCACCCTGCCCATCTCTCCCTAGAGTCCCATATTGTCAAAATGTTCTGTGTCCAATTACATGCAAAGATCCAGTGCCCATGAAATCCTCATCTGCTGGGATTAATGGTGGTGAGTACAGTGGTTTGGTAAAAGGTTAGGATCCCTTTAGAGATGAAGGAGACACAAGGATGCTTCATTGAGGCCTGAAGGACAAAGGGAGGGACAGTGTGAAAAGGAGTGCTCCAGTTTGGATCTCCAACATGCAAGATGCCCCTGTGTAGTACAAGTTTCCAAAAACCAAGACACCGACATTTTATGGACATGCTCTGAGACCAAATCAAAATGAGCCCTCAAAATCTCTGACTGCCCCATCACACCACTGGTCTCAGAGGGGGACGTGAACGGTTGCACCAAGGTCTCTGTCCTCTCCCCTGGCCTCACTCCATTTAAGGAGACCAAACTAGATCAGGGTGGGTCTTGATTCCCAGACAAGTCTCCTCAGGGAACCAAAGGTCTTATGCCTCTTTGATTCTCCAGTGGCCCCCTGGAAGGGCTTCTTACAATCTGAGACTTTTAGACTCTGGAACTCAAGTCACCCTAGTCCCCCGGGGCTTAAATCCATGAAGTGCCAATCCACCAGTGAGATGGGCGGTAGTGGCAGCTCCCATAATGTGGGCATTATAAAAACTGACTTGTTGAAACGGCTCAATGGATTGGATCAGCACCAGGAGTGGCCCCACTCCTATAACACTGCCCACATCCTAGCCTTCACAGTTGGCCAGGTGGCTGTCTCTAAGACTCTCCATTCCTCCAATGTTTCCCTCACCTTAGTGGGTAGTACAGATCCCAGGGTAGGAGTGTGTGAAATAGACAGGTGTTGATACAGGAACTGCTGAATGCAAGAGTCCTCAGGCAAACCCTTTAGTTCAACAGTCCTCTTGGGACATCATGGAAGGACAGTGGCACTTGGAGACTGACCACAGATTACCTCAGCCTGAAAAGAGAAGTTGATTTGGTGGTTCTGCTTGTCCCTGACCTTGTGCCTATTAAAGAGATGTTGGTGGGCAACCTCGGAGACTGGTATGCAGTGGTCAACTTGGCCACTGCATTCTTCTCAGGTCCTAGTCAGGTAGAAGACTATGACCAGTTTGCCTTTACCTGGCTAGGCATGTAATACTCTTATGGTCTGATGACATGGCCACCTAACCAGTCCTGCAAATGGCCACCAGTGGTGGCTTCAACTCTAGCTAAACATAAGCTTCCTCCAAATGTGAGGGCAATACATTATTTATGACCTCTTGTTGGCAGGCCCTAATGAGGAAGCTGGGAACCCGGCCCTTGACGTGTGAATTGACTAGGTGTGCCAGGATGTTTGGGCAACTAACCCAGACAAAATTCATGACCTTCCCCGAGAAGGAAAATTTGGAGTGTGTATGAGGGGCAGAGGTTTGGTGTATAGGGATGTCCCCTACTGGGACATCCCTACCTAAGCAATGAACAAGCTCCTGGCCTTGTTCCTATTTGGAACTGAGAGGCTGACTAGAGACATCTCAGCTATTCTCTGACCAGAAATTCCAGTCCTTCAATGGGTGCTGACTGATGCCAAATCCAACGAGGCAGGTGGAGCCCAAGAATCAGCCATCATCAAATGAAAGTGATATATTCAGAGCTAAGCCAGGCCTGGCCTAAGGGGTGTTGGCCACTTATGTGAGATTCTTGCTTAGTAACAGTCTGCCACAGAAGCTAGTCTTGTTGGGTCTCCAGTGAAACCCCCTCTTACAACCTGGGGCCCTTGGTTAGCTGATCTCCCAGAAGGAAGATATACCTAGTTCACAGATGGCACAGCCCTCCTCAAAAAATGGTCAGAGTTATTGGAGTGACACAGCACTATAGTCAGCAGATAGGCTAATCTACACCACCCATAGCTCCATCCAGTCCACCCAATGATAGAACTATAGGCAGCTCTCCTGCTGCTTGTGCAGTCCATCACAAAGGAGCCATTTCTCTTCACTGACTCATAAGAAGTAGCTAATAATCCTGTGTGGTAAGGTCAGAGGCACTCTACCAACTGGATGATTAAGTCATCTGCCTGGGGAACCTTCCTATAGAGATGCATCTCTTCCAAGCTTAACAATTGGACATTCCATATAAATCATTTACCTTGGCAGAATACTTTTCAGGGATGTCCACACGGATGATGAGGTTGATGCACATATTGCCAGAGCTAGCTCCTTGTTTGGGAGGGTCTGAAGGAAAGTGTGGGAGAGAAAAGGTTATTAGACTGCTTACCAAACTGAAGGTCTACAGGATCATTGTGCTGACCTCATTGTTGTGTGCCTGTGAAACCTGGACAGTCTACCAGCACTATGCCAGGAAACTGAATCGCTTCCATTTGAATTGTCTTAGGATGATTTTGAAGATCACCTGGCAAGGTACTAGACATCGAGGTCCTTTCTTGAGTTAAACTGACAAGCATTCAAACTCTACTGCAGAGAGTGCAACTCCTCGTGGCCTGGTCATGTTGTTCTAATGCCCGAAGTACATTTACCTAAAAGACTATTTTACAGAGAACTCACACAAGGCAAGTGTTCACATGGAGGTCAGAAGAAGCAATACAAGGATACTCTCAAGGTCTCTCTGAAGAACTTTGGAATTGATTGTGAGACATGGGATACACTGGCACAGGACTGTGCAGCGTGGTATGCCTGCATCAAAGAATGTGCTGTACTCTGTAAGCAAAGCACAATTGCAGTAGCTCAAAAGAAATGTGAGATGTGCAAATTTAGAGACATCTTCACTCCAAATGTTCACATGGACTGTTTGTGCCCAACCTGTGGGAGACAGAGCCTTCCAAGCTAGTATTGATGTGATCAGCCACAGTCAGACACACTGTGCCTTGTCCCCAACATAGTGATATCATTTTTGTCCTCTTTGAGAATGAAGGACAACAACCAACCAACCAGCCAACCTCTACCTACAACAAAGTACCCTTCCCAGAAGAATCATTGACCAGGATGTTTACCCTGATGATGATTCCAAACAATGGCACAACTTTCGCATCAGTAGTGAAATGATCAGATTGATTCTTTTTTTTAATTGATCCTATTTACAAGTAATTGCTGTTGTCCTGTTACTGCCCAAGTCTTGGTTCTTTGTCTTTGAACTTAATTCAGAAACTCAGCTAGCCTGTAATGAATTGAGTTTAAAAATACAGTTCTCCTGCTGTTCCGTTCTTGCCTCAAAGAAATCTATTATCTTTGAGAGATAAGAGTGGACATCAGGGAGTTGGGTCCAGTATCTTTACACCACCAAGATGTCCTTCAAGGATGTTTGGTTTGCTATCCAAAGATGTCTGGTTCGCCAACTCTAATCTTGCAGGTAGACTCAAACAATGAACATTTCTTAGCACAGGAGGGGAGGAGGGAGTTGTTGCTAGCCCCTCATTTCTAATTTCCAACCAATCATATTGTCCCTTAGGCCTCAGCTTTGTAACCAATCATATCAATTTCCCCATTTATAATGTTGAGCACTTTTAAGCAATCATAACTTGTTCCCTGCCTAGGAAGTCCTGTTCTTTGTTCTGTACTCCCCAAAACTATAAAAGAGAGCTGTCCATCTCATTCAGGGTCTTAGCTTTGCTGAGAAAGCTAAAATCTTATTTATTGATAAATTTGCACCTTACTAATAAATTGATCATGCTCAGAACTTTTTGCCTTAGTTTACCTTATTCTGACCTTAACAGCAGCCACTCCAAAATGAGCAAAACTGAAATATATTAGTATTCCATGTCCCATCTTATCTACCAGCAGCAGGGACTGTGGAATGATAGAATGGTCTCCTCAAGCAATTCCTAAAGCCACAGGACCCTAAGCAAAGCCTGAAATGCTGGGTCAATAGACTCACTCACAAGAGCAGCCTTCAGTTCCAAGAAATGCACAGTCATCTCTCACTTGTCTTCTAGAAAATTCAGTATCAGGGAATGGAGAATAAGGTGAAGAGCATAAAAAGCTCTATTGGAACTCGTAGTTTAGAGAACAGATGTTTCTGGTTGTATAAATCCACATCCAGACGTTCCTCTATTCTTGCCCACCAAAAGGACAGGAAAATGGGGGTTGTGCTTTCTTTATGTCAGGCCACACACATACAGAGGCAAAAGCACCAATCTAGATGCCATGAATCCTCCCAGTCACTTTTTAAAAATCATTCTTACGGAGCAGGTGTCCATAGTATTTTCTTTCCTCAGAGCCTTTATTTTCCAAAGCACTTAATCTGGAACCAGGGGAACTCACAAGGAGCAGGCACCTTGTTAAGACATCAGACCCTGTGCTTATTCCTCCACCCACTATACAGGGAGTGAGAGGTGGGCTTCCAAGTAGAGAGTGATTCAGGGCATAGGTAATGCTCTGAACATAATGAAAGAAGATGTTCAGATCGGTGGGTCAAAAAGCTTGAACATCAGGGACACATGAGGAATGGAGGGAAGGGGAAGGCAAAAGCCATGAGCCTATTCAGCATCTTTTTCTCTGCTTCTGTGCCCTTACATGCAACACAGACTACACCTGACTACTGATGGTAACACCCCAGTTGGCATCATCTGCCACCTGTTTTTTCTCCTGGTGGATGACTTATTTTACCTGATTTGTGATCTGTCCCACTGGCTTGACATTGGCCAGCCTCCCTTACCCTACCATGAAGATGGTATTCAGTTTTATGATACTTCTGGGTCAACCCTGGCCTGAGCTCTCCAGGGAGCTCTATCATAAAACCAGAATACACTAGTGAGACTGGTTGCCTCTGCCATGAAATTCATGGCCAGCTGGTTGTTCTACTCAGCCCCAGGAGTACCAGATGGATAGCTGCAAGACTTTCCATTTAATTCCACACAGTATCCACCCCATCAACCAAGAGCAGGATTTAGCCTCCAGGTTATGAATCTCGAGTCAAGATTCAAATCCACAGAATGTCAGCCCATGGGCCCACTCACCTGGGATAGAGTGAGGAGTTTTGGATACAAAATTCTGAATGGCGATGAATATACCACTTGTATATTCAGCTTTCCAAATGGCATCTCTGAAGTGTTTAGCAATGTCATAGCCCATTATGCTCCCTTTGCCTTACTCATGCTTCCTCCACAGTTTGGGAGAAAATTAGGGTCAGAACTGAAACACTATCTTTATGGCCATGCAACAGATTTCTCCCATTTCTGTAAGTATTCAGTACAAGACTTCCTGAACAGGGAGGCAGTTCCCCTAACAGCATGGGCATTCTCTTCTTCAGACACTAGTATTAAAATAAGTTCTCTTTCCTAGATGTACCTAATAGGCATACCCTCTCACTATGCCTCCTTGTCCCTAACAAGGATAGCATCACCAGTGGGGAGGCCAGGCCATTTACCGTACACAAGGGTCCTCTGAATCCTGAATATATTGATTATACAGGGTCTGTAGGGACAACATTCCAAGGGATATTCAAGACATTGAGTTCCACAGATTTGTCAGGGTCTTCTTACCTTAAGGGCTTATGAGGTAGAATACATGATCTGCACTTTTCAGCCACCATAGCCCTTATAGCCAATGGAATGGATAAGACCATCATTGCCTAGAAGGAAGAAAAAAGGCCTTAACTGCCTGGCATTGATAATTTTAGATTACTATATTGCCCTGGGTTATCTACTAGCTAATGAAAGGGGTTTCTGTAATCCTAGCCAATACCTTTTGTTGCTTTGGGGTGAATGCCAGTGGAGAAGTAGAACAATCTCTCAAGAAGATAACAGAATAGGCCATAGTCAAGCAGATAGAGCCATGGGATTTGTTTACCTAATCTGGGCTAAGCTTTTCGGGAATTTGGCTCAGATGTCTCACACAATCAGCCACTACAATCCTCAACCTAAGTGTCATTATATTGATACTGGTCCAATGTGTCCTGAGATGTAACCAATGGATCCCACCTCAACCACTTAATATATGATTGGTGAAAGTTGAGTTTCCAAGATGGTAAAGGTTATGATGAAGCAGGCCAAGATAGTAGGACTGGGGGTATAGATTGAATAACCACAGAAGTCTATGGCTCCACTCTCCCAGGGTTGGCTCCTGTTATACAACACTGATATGCTGAAGGCTTAACTCCTCCCAATTCTAGTAAGAATGGGCTGCTGAAACTCTTTTACAAATTTACCAGGGAGTCACCTTCCTCATCCTGAGTAGGCCTTCTCGGCTAATATTTGGAGACCTCTTTTGCTACAGGTACATATTCTCACGAGAATAATCCCTGAATAAATTGATATTTACCTGTCCATTCCTTTTAATGTGCACTAATCATGAATGCAGTGTGTACCCAAAATCTATTCTAAATTTGCATGACACAAGCTGCCACCTTCCTTCTCGGCCACTAGCTCTATCCCATGATCCTCACTCTCCTTCAGTACCTATATCCAAGTTGCCAAGTTTTGTCATTATTATCTCTTCAAAGTGTTTTGTATCCATTACCTTCTCTCCATTCACACGATCTCATCACTTTTCACCTAGACTATTGCAATAATGTCCTAATTTGACTTCTTGAATCAAATTTTCTCCCTCTCTACTCCATTATCCACTTGGCTGCCAAAAGGATATTTCTAAACCATTGGCCAAGAAACTAAATCTCTTCAGTGAATTTCAGGGGCCCCGGGTACATCTAGGATCAAATAAGACTTCTCTATGTCTTGTAAAGCCCTTCAAACACTAACTATATCCTTCCTTTTTAACCTTGTTATTATTCCTTTTTTATACTCTATTGTCCCCTCAAATATGCCTGCTTGCTATTCTTCCCATATGCCATTTCATTTCCAATTTACATGTCTTTGCAAAGACTGGTATCCCAGGCAAAATTAGTGCTTTCGTAAAAGTTTGCTGACCAATTGCCACTGAGGATCATAGCACAGTCTTTTCATGACATCTAGTAGCCGAAAGGGATGTTACTGTTTCTATTCAGTAAACTTCAGTGTTTGCAGGGTACACCTAGGATCAAGTACAGACTCCTTTGTTTGTCACTCAAAGCCCTCCAAACCCTGACTACATCCTATTTTTTTATGTTTATCATATAATATTTCCCTTTGTGTGCTCTACTGTACAGTCAAATTTACCTACCTGCTGTTCCTTACAGCAAGGAAATGTCATTATAGGATAGTTCATTTCCCATCTATTGTTGTTGTTCAGTCATTTGGCAAAGATACTGAAGTGGTTTTCCATTTCTTTCTCCAGCTCATTTTATGGATGAGGAAACTGAGGCAAACAGGGTTAAGTAACTTGCCCAAGGTCACAAGCCCCAGTATGTGTCATAGGTGGGTCTTGACCCCAAGTCTTCCTGGCTCTGAAGTTAGCAAGCACTCTATCCACTAAAATATACTGCTATAGTTGTTATTCAGTCATTTCAGTTGTCTGACTCTTTGTGACCCCAACTGGGGTTTTCTTGGCAGAGATACTGGAGTGGTTTGCCAAACAGGGTTAAGTGATTTGCCCAGGGTCACACAGCTCATAAATATCTCAGGCTGGATTTGAACGCAGGTATCCTGACTCTAGGCCCAGCATTGTATCCACTACCTAGCTGCCTCTATATGCTTCTATAGGCACTATATACCCCTGACTGGTGCAAGGCGGACATTTAATAAATGCTCATTGACCAATGAATGGCATTGAGAAACATAGCACAGTCTTTCCTTGACATCTAGTGGTCTTTTTTGATATTGCAGCTTTCTAAAAAGGTTTTATTTTTAATGTGCCATCTCTTGACTACCTCCTGTTATCACATTCTGTCACATTACAAACTAATTATATTTTAGCCTATGTAGCAACTCATTTCTGCTTTTGGGAGGAAAATGGAACTAAACAAAGTCTTGAATTTAAGAAATTCAGTGAGTAATGAGTTTCTTCAATGTAAATAGGATTTCGAACTAATTAATCAACATGAGAATTATCTATTAAACTCTCCATCATATCAAAGGTCATCTGCTACAAGATAAGCCTACATGGCTGTGGAGATACCACTTAACTGGTTTCACCCTGTTAATCACTTAAGATATGCATGCTCCCCACTCAGAAGAGCAAAATTTTGAGGAAATAAATACAAGAATATGGATGATCTTAACTTTGAAGGAAATTTATTTAATAAATATCAAAAGTTTGACTGAGACTTGACCAGTACATAATCAGTCATGCAAACAAATATTTGCAAAGGTGCCCAGGGTTAGTTAAAATATAATGAATAACTCTGGAGTATAAAATATCAGATAGTAAGTAAATCTACAACTATAATCATTTCACTCAGTAGTTGAGCTGGGATTCAAAACTGGTTCTTCTACCTCCAAATCTAGTCTTTCTGTCACTGCACCATGTTCTCCATCCCCCACCTACTGTGGTGCCTCATTCTGAACAAAGCCATCTCTCTCTCTCTCTCTCTCTCTCTCTCTCTCTCTCTCTCTCTCTCTCTCTCTCTCTCTCTCTCTCTCTTTTTCTCTCACTGCCAAGCTTCTTGAATACATGGTCTGTGAAAGCTGGTATAATTCCCTTTTTACCCACTCACTCCTTTAAAGTGCTAGATGAGTCCACAGGACCATAGTCATAAATCTAGATCTGGAAGGGGCCTCAGAGGCTATGTGGTCCCACCTTCTCATTTTACAAAGGAGGAAACTGAAGACCACAGAGGTCAAGTGACTTGTGCGAGATCACAAGCTAGAAATTGTTTGAGGCAGGATTTGAACTTAGGTCTTCCTGACTCTAAATTCAGCGCTCTGTCCTATAGATCCAGTTGCCTTGTATGCTCTCATCTTTTTTTTGCCTCTCTAGAAGTTCTAAGACCAGAAGCACAAGGGATTGTTTCATTTTTTTTAAATGTTAAAAGAAATAGAATTTCCCCAAAATCTAAAGTTTCCTCTATTAAGCTTTCAATACATAATTATTGGCCTGAATTAAGTTCTTTGACTTTCTATCCACATAATACTCTATCCTGAATGTGTGAATTCCTTCACTCCAACTTTATCTTTTATTGAAATGAAAGGCTTGAAAGGATATACATAGTAGCTTAGCTTACAAGATATATAAACAGATGTAAAAGTTACTTCAGCACCAAAGATGGTGGAGAGCTCCTGTGGGCATCCTATCATGGAAACAACTGAATTCAATAATACTTATGCATCAGAGGGGACCTGTGGTAACATGGTAGCACTACCACCCTGGTGTTCTCAGGAAAAAACATTCTGTCTATAAGAGTCTGATGGGAAGGCAAGTATCTGAGGATTACCATAGGCATCAGTGTATCGAGTATTGTCATCAAAAAGCAAAAAGACAGACTGTCTATAACACATGGTTCCAGGGTGATTGCTTCCAAGAAAATCTCCTTCTTCCTACGAGTGCTGTGCTAAGAAACAGAATAATGGAACACATGGGCCCAGATGCCCTTTGCTGCTGGGTGACTAGTCTCAAAACACCACAGAACCATTGACAGTGAATCTACTATACTTATTAAAGAGCTGATGTGAATTTCACCAGAATATTTTGTTCTAATATCTGTTTTAAGGCCTGGAAGGGATCAGATTTTGAGAAACTTCTGGATTGACTGACACTAGCCAAAGAAAACCTCACATAGGCTGAAGGGCCTGAAAGGCCCTTAGTGTAAGCAAGAGTCAGAGAAAGAAAAAAAATCTTAAAGACCTTTGTATATGTGGGAAAATTATGACAATTAGCAAAGATTTCTTAGGCTCAAAACCTTTGAGGAATTGCTGAGTAGATGATGAATAAACTGATGAACTAACTAAGTTAGACGTTTCTTATTTATTAGATTTTAGGTCAATTCACTCTAGAAAAAACCAAAAACATTTGCTGAGCTCCTACTGCCTGTCCAGAATATGGCTAGGTTTTGTGGAGGGGTGGGAGAATAAGACAAAGGAAGTGTAGAGATTAGGGGAACAGCATTCACTTGAAACTGTTGACTAAACTCCATCCCCAGAACCAAATGGAATTGCTTTCTTGTTCTTCTTTCCATTTCCCCTCGTCTTTGAGTCAGCGTAGACTGCTTCCAAATTAGACATTGATTTTATATACTAACACTCCACACATGGACATAGATATGTGGACTTCGAAAAGAGGAAGTCAGGATTGGAAATGGGGCCATTTTGTGTTAGAATGTAAGGAACTTGGATTTGGAGTCAAAGAGACCTGGGCTCAAATCCTACCTCTGTCACTGATGACCTGTGTAAACCTAAGCAAGTGACTTAAAGCCCCTGAGCTTCAGTTCCCAGATAAGTAAAGTGGGGAGGTTTCAATATATCGCCTCTGAGATCCCTTTCAGCTCCAAATCCCTGTTCTTATGTATGACCTTAAGCAAGTCACTTCCCCTCTCTGGGACTTAGTTTCCTTTCTCCTCTGTAAAATGGATTAGATGACTTCTGAATTTCCTATGATCCTATAGCTAGTGAGCTATGTATAGTGACTGTGGTCAAGTCGCCTCTGTGGGCCTCAGTTTTATCCTTTGTAAACTGAATAGTTCAGATAGCCTCTGAGGTCTGTCTGTTCCAGCTCCAGATCTTTGATCTTTTGTATGACCTTGGGTAAGTCACTTACTCTTTC